GACTTATGTTTAAGCCTTTAATTCATTTTGAGTTGATTTTTATAAGTAGTGTAAGATAGTGGTACACTTTCATGTGGCTCTCCAGTTTTCCCAACACCATTTATTAAAGAGACTATCCTTTCCTCATTGTATACTCTTGGTTTCTTTATTTCTTGGCTTTCTGTTCTGTTTTATTGATCTATGTGTTTGTTTTTATACTGATACCATACTAATCTGATTACTGTAGCTTTGTTATTAAATCTTCATAGCAATCCAATGAAATAGGTGCTTATATTGTCCTCATTTTCCAACTAAGTTAAGAAACTGCGGCTTGGAGAGGTTAAGTACTCTGCTCAAACTTAAATAATGTGATTGAACATGGATCTTTCTGGAAGGGGGGGCGGGAGGAGAGACATCAATGTGAGAAACATTGATTGGTTTGCCTCCCCATACCCACCCAGACTGGGAACCAAAACTGCAACCCAGTTATGTGCCCTAACTGGGAATTGAACCTGCAGTTCTTTGGTTTGCGGGACAAGGCCACCTGGCCATGGTAAATTAAATATTCTTCATGTTCAGTGTTTTTAATTCATAATTTGGCAAGGGAATATAGGTGTGAAATCTAATGTTTCTTGAGCACATATTATGCCATATACTGTGCTGAAAACTATTTTCATAGTAGGAATCTTATTTCTACTGCAGCACCTTATTTTTTTTGTTCGTTTATTTATTATAACTATTATTTCCTTTTTTTATATATTTTTAAATTGATTTTTAGAGAGAGGGGGAAGGAGAGAAAGAGAAACATCCATGTAAGAGTGAAATATTGATTGGCTCCCTCTTGCAAACCCCTTACCCAAGAATCGGGGATGGAACCCACAACCTGGGCATGTGCCCTGACTGGGAATTCAACCTGCAACCTTTCAGTGCATGGGTCGATGCCCAAACATCTGAGCCACAACAGCCAGGGCCCTATTCATTCTTTTACTAGTTTTATTTCGTCTGTATTGGTTTTTTCTACACTCTACTTCCCTCACCCTGTTGTTCATATTTATATTCCCAACAACTCAAGGCATCTGGTCTAATGGTAAGCTTTATTCTCATTTTTCAATAGTGAAAACAGGTTCAGAGAAGCTAAGTAATTTTCTAATAATTAAGGAAGCTAAGATTGCAACCCAGATCTCAATTACAGTCCTAAGTGCAAAATCTTACTTAAATTTTATTTTACTCATTCTAAAAATATTTTTGAGTTTGAAACGAGTTAGCTATGGTCTAGGTCCTAATTACTTATAGTATGTTTGAACTAACTCTGAATCAAGAAATTGAACTCAAGTTCTAGTTGTAATTACTTTCTGTAATTTTGAGGAAAATTGCTAAAACTCACCATTATTTTTCATCATATTTTCTGCATTAGTCAGTTTTCACCAAGAGAAGAGATTTATGTGACAATTTTATAAATCGCTTTATTACAGGAACACCTGCCTGGACCTGCCTTCTTTCTTCTCTGTGGTTTTATGAGCAGTTTTATCTGACCAAAATTACTTCACAAGAAGGACTTGCCTTTTATAGTTGCTACCTCTATTCTCTTTATCAATCAACCTGTGTTCCTTAGATGTTACTTCCATTGCTGTTTTGCTGCCTTATCAAGAATAAGAGTTGTAGCTTACTTTTCCAGCTTCTAAAATAATGCAAGGCCATGAGAAATTTAGTCTCCACTATCTATAATAAATGTTTTGTTTTGCCTTGTTGTCATGGAGAGGAATCAGTGTGCAGCAAGCAGGTACTTGTCTTCTCTCAACTTGAGGAGACCGAAAGGATTAGTAGGAGTCATTGTGAATGCAGCCTTTGCAAACTTAGTGGGCCAAAGTTTTATGAACTATAAAACAGTAATAAAATATAGTCGATTATTCTTATTGAAAAAGATGTAATCATGAAATTATTGAACTGAGATAATACAATAATTATTGAGTGATTTCCTTTTCAGGCTAAATTTTCCCAGATTTATATAAAATTTTCCTAGAGGTTTATTTTTTCTATAGTTATACTGTTGCATTATTTAAAAAAATGAACAATCATTACAGTTTTGTTGAAGGAATTATATTGTTTTGTATGTCTATAATGTAACTCATAAGTGCTCTTCATTTACAGTTGAATTTTTTGCACATATATAGTGACATCCTGTTTTTGCAAGCAAACATAAATCAATCTTCCCATCCACTCAGACGATATGCACCTGTGTGAATATGCTTACGTGCTTAGAAAAAGAACTTCAAGTTCCCTGCCTTAGTCTGTTCATGCTGCTTTTAGCACAGTACTTGAGATTAGGTGGTTTATAAACAACAGGAATTTATTTCTCACAGTTTTGGAGGCTGGTAAGTCTAAGATCAAAGCATCCTCAGATTCACTGGTGAGGACCCACTTCCTGTTTCATAGAGGGGGTCTTTTCTCTGTGTCCTCACATGGCGGAAGGGGCAAGGGATCTCTTTTATAAGGATGCTAATCCCACATATGAGGGCCTCACCCGCATGATGTAATCACATCCTGAAGACACCACCTCCAAATGCCATCATATTGGATGTTAGGATTTAACCTGAATTTTGGGGGACATCAACATCTAGCCTGTGACCCACAACTAACATTTAATAGTGATGTGTCACATTGTTACAGTAATGGCCTTCAGTGAATCATGCCTTCCTCTGTCTGTGTCCTTATGTAACACTCTTTCCCTAACCTTACCTTGAAGGTAGCTCTTTTGGACAGAACCTAAGGTGACTCCACTACTGAGCTTATGACTTGCATGAGAACTAGCTCACTCTCCCTCCCGTGGAGAATCTTCAAAAATTCTAACCTCTTCCATATTGATTCTGGGTTTACATTTTTTGATTGATAGTAAAAAAAAAATATATATATATATATATATGCAGTAAGCAGAGACTTGAAAAGAGCTTGGGACTTGCTTTTCTGCTCTCCTGAAATCACCATTTAAAGAAGTTCAGGCTAACCTACTAGAGGATATGACCAAAAGTAGCAGAGACTAGCTTTCTAAGCTAAAACCCTTACCCTTTAGATTTCTAGTCTTAAGCAAGCTAACCATATGCACTAGTGACCCAGGCACAACCATCAGAAGCATACACACACATCTGTATGTATGTATATATCAAGTAAAGACAGTGGAGTTACAGTGGTATGGATCTCATAACTCTAAAATTTGTAGCATAGGTTGGCAGGCTAGAAACTCTCCCGGAGGACCTGATGCTAAGTCTTGAGGTAAAATTTTTTCTCAGGGTAGGTAACTTCAGTTTTGCTCTTAAGGTGATTCAGCTGATTAGATGAGGCCCATCCACATTACGGAGTGAGGCCCGTCCATATTATGGAGTATAATCTCCTTTACTTAAAGTCACCTTTAAAAATTTTTTTAAATTTATTGATTTTAGAGAGAGAGAAATTTGCTGTTCCATTTATTTATGCATTCTCTGGTTGATTCTTGTATGTGCCCTGACCCCAGGGATTGAACCCACAACCTTGGTGTATCGGGATGACACTCCTAACAGCTGAGCTACCCAGCCAGGGCTACTTAAAGTCATCTGATTGTAGATGTTAACCACATCTACAAAATACCTTCATAGTAACTCCTAGGTTAATGTTAGAATGCTAGTATTACTATTGTAGCCTGGCCAAGTTGACATATCCAACTAACCATTATAGCAGTCATCATGAATAATAAACATTTTTTAATGCCATTCACTCAGTAAAGACTAGTTGATAAACCCACTTGGTACTTTTTAAACCCCTTATCCATACCAAGTTTATAAAGAGTTAAGATTATGGAATTTTAAAAGATTACCGAAGGTTGCTCAAAAATGAGAGAAAGGGAGAGAGCTAGTTATAGCGCATGTTTGTGAGCTCAGTTGTGGGCTCATATGAGGTTCTGCCCAAAAAGCCACCTGTGGAAGTAGAGGTTGTAGGTAGGGGTGGGGTTGCATACTGACCTCAGCAAAGAAAAGCTGGATATCACCAGTTTCTAAAGAGGGAGTAGAGACCTTCCTTCTAATGAAGGAAGATGAAATAGAGATAAAGGGAATTTCAGGTGACAGTCCCCAATGATGTGGCATTTTGACCCCAGAGAACCCTCAAACAGCTGATAGTCTCATCATTGGTTAATTAAGTGGTTAAGTTAGCTCTTTCGCTTTTATTTTTTCTCTTGCTTCATTCTACTTTATAGTGTTCAAAAACTATGTTTAACTATGTAAGGTACTATCTCTAGGTGGGGGGGAAAAAAGAGAAGAATAAACCACATTCTCTATTCCATGACAACAGGCATCTCATTTTCAGTGATTCCAAGCCTAGGATAGAGGACAGTTCCCAAAGTTAAATGAAGTTTAGTGTTTTGATTATTATGTTGGAATAGAGCATTTCAGTTACTGAATGAAACTGTTTTACAACTTAAAGTGACTGCATAACTTTTTATTGCCTAACTGTATTTAGAAATCATGATATTTTATAAAGTATCATGTTGATTTTTTAAAAATAATAACTCCAATTGAACTGAATGCCCTTAATCAGCTACATTTAAAACTTTGTTAAATTGCCTTAATTTTAAACCGCATTTGTAATTCTCATGTGTTCATTTGTATTCAAGGACTTCAGATTCCGGACTTCATAAGCAAAATGTTCTCAATACTTAAATAACTTTTACAAAGCTAGTATATTAAAATGGGAGGGGAACAGTGCAAAAAAGAACAACAGAAGAAAACAATAAGGCCAGTAGATTAAATTTAACACTCTAGCAACTCAAGTTCTATAAAAATTCCCATACTGTTTGTAAACTTGTCTAAATTCTTTTTATTTTTTATCTTTTAGAGAATTTATCTGACTCAAACTGGCAGTATATGCTGGGGAGGGAACAAGATCTCAGATGTTCTGGAGAGTAACAGTTTTGCAAATTGTTTGATGTATTTGAAATTAAGGAGGGAGGACATAGCGAAAGGGAGGTTACGTGGAGGTGGGAGAAGGTAAGGCGGGATTGGATTCAAGGGTAGTTAGCAGAATTGTGCGCTCTCTTGTGGGTGACGCCTCAAAGGTGTGTTAACCTGGATGCACTGAAACAATGGACTGGGCTTGCTTAACCCAAAGATAAGCCTTTTACGTGACATACCCAGTTAGGAATTTATGATCAGATCATTCTGTGAAGTTAGTTTTGATAGAACCTCATTTTTTGTCCCAGTTCCCCCTTTTGGTCATAAATCAATCCAAAGGATGCATTGATGACCAAACTTTTGGTAGGATAGTGTGGTCTCACAGTGCGATGAAGGGCTCATTCCTAGGGAAGTCTCAGTATTCACTTTGTCTTATTGATTATTGAGGATGGGGCAGTACTATAACCATGGGGTTTGAATTGAGGCTGAATTTTCCCAAAATGGGAAGGGCAGGTAAATAGAAGGCAGTCAGGTATTATAGCCTTTATTCCAAAAAACTCCACTCTGGATTATTTCTATCCTATGAACTATTATGGTCAGAGTTTTGCCGTTTGTGTAATTTTTCTACTATTAAATTTACATAAGCCAGCAATTTTCAACGGGTGTCCTGAAAGAGACACACTGGTGAGCCACAAGAATTTTTAAAACATGAAATACCTGACTATTTAGTCAGGAACACTAACCTCTTTTCCCTTAGATCATCAAATAAAAAAATGTCAAGAGCCAACACGACAATAGCCGTCTGATGCTAATGAATCAAAATTATACCTATTTTTTTGTCAGATTGGCAGAAAAAAAGTAATATTTTTGGTGTGCCACAGAATTTTAGTAATTCATGCGTGCCATGAGATGAAAAAGGGTAAAAATTGTTGACATAAGCTGTTAAAAGAGTATTAACAGTTATTAACACATTAACACATTACATGTTCAATAATTGTAAACACTTGGACTATATAGAAAAACTCAAAAATAAGGATATTGTTACATTTAATGTTAATATCATCAGCAGACAGATAAAGACGATCAACATGGATTCTGAGTTCACCATCAACCCATAGATATACAGGCCTTATCGATGTCTTGGGATAGCTGTCTCCTTCTGATGTCAGTGACTTCTCCTCCTAGAGGAGTTTTTGATGACTGTTGTAAGCCAAGGTGAGTGTCAGAGACAGGGGTAGATGTCCATTCATGGTTAGGTGCCTTTTTTTTTTTTTAAATATATCTATTGATTTCAGAGAGAGGGAGGAAGAGGAAGAGAGAGAGAGAAACATCAGTGATGAGAGAGTCATTGACCAGCTGCCTCCTGCACACCCCCTACAGGAATCGAGTTCACAACCTGGGTATGTGCCCTGACCGGGAATCGGGAATCAAATCACAATCTCCTGAATCATAGGTCAATGCTCAACCACTGAGCCACATTGGCCAGGCATGGTGCCTTTTTTTAATGAGAAGTGTGAATCCGTGAATTAACACCTTTAAATTTAGCTGCACATGGATTCATTAGTAACATCTGATAAGATCCCTTCCAACAAGGTTGGAGGGAGTCTTTTATTTGATGCCTCTTCCAATAGACAAGTGATTTTCAACCCGTGCAGCAAGAATTTTTAAAACACGCGATACCTATTTAGTCAGGGGCACTGACCTCTTTTCCCTTAGATTGTCAAATTAAAAAAATTACAACAGGCAACACGATAGCCATCAGATGTGAATGAATAAAAATTATACCTATTTTTTGGTCAGATCTGCAAAAAAATACATATTTTTGGTATGCTGCAGAATTTTAGTAATTAATTTTTGTGTGCCATGAGATGGAAAAGGTTGAAAATCACTGCAATAGACAGTCTCCTGGCTGAAAGCCGTGGTCTTTGAAGTCTTTGTGTCTCCCAGGAGCACACTAAGAAATGAATCAGTTACTAATTTATCAGTTTCTTTTAGCTGGTTAATAAGTCCTTGACAGTAATGCATAATACCTCCTCTGAATAAGATTGGTTCATGTGCCCTTTCTTCCAGATGCATAGAGCAGCAACCGGTTACTATTTCATAAGGAGAAAGGCTGTGTTTTCAAGAAGAGGTAGATCTCAGGTTGAGGAGCACTATAGGGGAGCTTTTGGTCAAGGGAGACTAAAAGTTTCTGAAAATTTAGCTAGTTGAGTTTTAATTGTACTATTTGTATGTTCCACCATTCCAGAGGACTGGGGGTGATGATAAGCACAATGAAAATGCTGTAGAATAGGCAAAATGTTACAAATCAATTGCATTATTTGCCCAGTGAAAGGAGTCCCTCTGTTACTATATAACTCAGAAGGAATTCCCCAACTGGGAATTAATTTTTCCAATAATACCTTACCTACTCTTAAGGCTGTTGCTCTCCTGCAAGGGAATGTCTTTTTAACCCAGTGAGAGAACATACAAATCATAATTAACACATACTTGTATCTTGGAGATGGTATTTGGGTAAAATTTCCCATCTGAGGTATGGACCTAAAGGGAGTAGATTCATGGAATGATTTTCTAGGGTTATATTTGGAACTGATAAAACATCTGCTATACATTTTATGAGCTACAGTGGGAGAAGGTTTCCGTGAAATCGTCTTTTCAGGACCCCAGTGTGTTCATGCACATATTGAAGCATAGGTAGTTGAGCCCCAATAGGTATGATTGGGTCCAAGCCCCAGTAGGTATGATTGTCTGGGTTAAAGGTTCCCCCCTTTTTTCTTGCCATGTCTCCTTTTTGTCCTCTGTAGCTGTCTTTTGGAACTGTAATAGAGTAGGAAACAACCTTCTCGGGTGTCTATAATTTGGCTGTTTAGTGATGCTTGTTTAGCTACAGCATCAGGTAAACGATTTCCTTTTGCTTCCATGGTGGTAGCCCTGGAGTGTCCTGGAATTTTGATAATTGCCAATTATCTTGGTTGCTGTATGGTACCTAATAATTCTATAACATGTTTTCCATTCTTTATAGACTACCCTGAGGAAGTTAAGAAGCCTCGTTGCTTCCATAAGCATTCCAAAGTTATGAGCTACACCAAAGGCATGGTGACTATCAGAGTAAATATTGGCTATTTGATCTTGGCCAGCTGAGAAGCTCTGGTTAGAGCAATTAATTTGGCTTGCCGGGCAGGCCTTATTTCAGGTAAATAAGAACTTTCGATTACATCCGCCATGGAAGTTTCCTACATATCCAGCTTAGTAATATCCATTTGTCTTTGAGATAAAATCCATCTGTAAACCAAATTAAGTCAGCATTATTAATAGGAGATTCCTGCACTTGATCTTAGCCAAAAGGCCGAGAAGCGATTATAGGAGATTTCTGTAATCATTCCTAGGAACAAGAAGGTGGTCAGTAAGTAAAATGCAATTGTGGGAGTCTCCATCCTGTAAAGTGGGTAGTAAAGTTGGTGGGTTAAGACAAGCTAAAGTAATATTAAGTGCAGAAAGCAGTATTTCATAAGAAGTCAGTCAGCCGACTAAGTAATGCTGAGTGTAGTGAGTGTAGCAGAGATTCAGCAGAATGAGGATTATAAATGGTTGAAGGAGAGCCTATAACTATCTTTTTCTGTTTGTTTGCACAACATGGCTGTAGCAGAGATAGCCCTCATAGAGGGAGGGAGCTCTTTTACTACCTAGTCTAATTGCTAGCTGTAATATCCCAAAAGTCTATGATGATCTCCATGTTTCTGAGTTAGAACTTTTTAAAGCATTTATTTTCATGTATGAAAAGAAAGGAATTTCATAATTAGGGTGTCCCAAAATAGGAGGTTTATAAAGTTTTCCTTTAGAGCTTCTACAGCTTATTTACCTTAGGGTTTCCATTGGATTGGATCAGGTCAATCTGATTTTAATAAGGCATATAGAGGTTGAGCCATTAATGAAATATGTGGAACCCCATTACAAAAATATCCAGTCAACCCTATAAAACCACTAAGCTGCTTCTTAGTTCTTGGAAGGGGAAAGGATAAGAATCCTCTGAGTCTTTCAGGGTTAATTAGTAGCCCATCCTTAGATAAAAGATGACAAAGAATTAAAGCTTGTCCTTGAACACCTTATGTCCTTTCATAGCTATGTATTGTAATAGGTTAAATTGTATTCTTTTGGGAGTCTAATAATGTCCTAAAGCTTAGAAATAAGTCATCTAAATTGGATTAGAGTAGAATCTCTGGGAAAATCAGTATCATTTAAATCTGTTTTTAGTATCTGAAATAAGTGGGACTCTTATATCCCTGGGGTATTACAGTCCTAGTAAATTGGCAATCTTACCAGGTAAGGTTAAAGAGAGATTGACTGTTTTAGGTTTCTTGGAAAGATACGAGGATTAACGGTTTGTGCATGGAATTATAAGCCCCCCTTTTAAGAAATCTTGTATAATGGGCTTAATTCCATCTCTAGCACATCAGTTATTAAAGGATATTGGCAAATGTTAGGTGGAGGCAAACGATTGTCAGTAGTTATTTGAAAGGAGTGGCTAACTTGATCTTCCCAGTATCTACTGGAAAGAGCCTAGAGCTCCATAGGAACATTCTTCAGCAATTTTCAGTCTCAAGATTAGTTCCCTCTTGTGGAAACTCCTTTAAAATCATGTTTGTCAATTAGTTCAGCATTTAGTTTTAAATTCATTTAGCTCTAAATACATTTCTACCTTTATGAGAAAAGGATATGTGAATGTCATGGGTTTCAAAAAAGTCTCTCCTTATTGGGTGAAATGGGTCAGATTTGACTAGCAAAAATATATGTTACCCTGTAACATTCCCTAGTTGAAAGGGAATAGGTTCTGATTTAAAAATAAACGTTGGATTCCTGGCCAGGTAGCTCAGTTGGTTAGAGAGTCATCCTGATATGCCAAGGTTACATGTTCGATCCTTGGTCAGGTCACATACAGTCAAACCTCAGTTCTCCAATGTCTCCCATCTCAAACAATTTGGTTCTTTACCAAGTTGTTCAACTTCAGTTTTGGACCTGACAGCCCTTTCATGTTGATACCTTAGCATGACAGAAAGCATCCCTCAGACCACTAAGAAAGGAGAGAATGCTATTTCTAGCAAAATCAAAGATTAGCACAATTTTAAAACATAAAGAGGCCATCAAGAGTGCTAACATTGCTAAATGTGTGAAAGTCCTCACAAAACAACAATCACAGGCAGTTGAATAGGTAGAAAATTGTTGATTTGCATAAACGAAAAGCAGCTAGCCAGTGACAGCGTTTCAGAGGCAGTATGTGAAAAAGCAAAAATGCTGCATGCTGACTTCCTGAAAGACACCCCTGGAACAAGTGCTGAAATGATTCTGTTATCACAGAATTTTGTGGGTGTTTTTTTCTCTGTTGCTCATGGGAGTGAGGTTCTTAAGATATCTTGAGAAAAAGAATTGTCTAAGACTTACACAGGAGAATGGGTTGCTTTTATTTGTGTGTAATTATCTCTCTCCATTTCCAAACTCCTATTTCCCTTAAGCCTGTATTTCCAAACTCCTGGAAAAGGTGCAGCCAGGACTTCAGCAGAGCTAGAAGCAAAGCCAGTGTCCACAGTTTCCGTTCCATAGTGGAGTTGAGTCCATCAGTCCATTGTATGTGGGGTCCACATGGCTGTGGGCCATGTGAGCGAGTGCAGGAGAGTGTGCCCCCTGCAACAAGGGAGCCAGGAACCAAGAGCTCAAGAGAGAACTCCCTTTGTTCGGGAGCTTAATATATATCAGGTTTCACCCTCTTGCAGTGGCCACGCCTTGCAGTGATTCAGTCGCAGATCCCAGGTGTGATTGACAGGCAAGCAGTTTCCCACATCACCCAGACCCTTTGTTTTGTGAGCACTTTCACATGTGGAAAATATTAAACTGCAGCTTCCTGGCACAAATAGCATGCCTATATTATTTGGCCTTCCCTTTACTCTTTTCCTGTTAATTAACAATCAGGTTATTACAATAGTATCAATTCATTTAAGACTAGTAGGGAGTGGTTTGACAAACTTAAGAGAAGAAATGTTTATTTATAGATTAAGCATGTTCTGTATGTAAGAAAAGTAAAAATGGAATTATTTGTGGGTTTGGAATGGATTAATTCAATTTACATTATTTCTAATGGAAAAAAGTGATTTGGTTTTCAAACAAATCACTTCTCAAACAGCCTTCCTGAACTAATTGAGTTGGAGAACTGAGGTTCCACTGTGTGTGCTTTCTTGAGGGTGATTACAGTTTATTTCAAAGATGTGTTAACTTAGATGTACAGGAACAATGGCCAGGGCTTGCTTAAGGCAAAGATAATTCTTTTAGTAAAATGCTGTATGCCTGGGGCATGACTACCCAGCATGATCAGCCAATTTAGGAATTTCTGACCTGTAACTCGGTGAGATTACTTCCCATAGAACTCCCTTTTCATCCACACAATTGTTTTTGTTCTTGTGAACTTATAACCTTTTTTTTGTTTTAAATTAATACCTTTAGTGTCATTTTAGCATGTTTGGGAAGGAGCTGACGTAAATAAATAACTGGTTAGTCTCTCCAATCTTGAAACAAGTACCATCAACTGTTTTGTATGATAATAAGTGTATAAGTTCAAGTCTATACCATTTAGAGATGGTAAATCACTTCTGGATTCAAGAGAAGCCGTTACTGGGCTCTCCTCTGGAGCATGTGCCTTACCCTTCCTCCAGGCTTGTTACCTTTGCCCTTCTCTCTCCTAAGCTCCAAGGGCCCTTCTTTTGCCTCTAACTTGTTTCCTGAGCCTAAGCAACCCGGCTGGTTCAGCCTAAGCAGCCCAACTTATTCAGGGGAAGATAAACCTTTTATAGGCCTCCAAGTTAATACTCACCATGACCTTCCCAGTTAGGAACTAATGACCAGATCATCCTGTAATGTTACTTTTGGTCACTGAACTTGTACATACCCCCTTTTTCATCCACAAAATCTTACATATGATTTTAAATCTTTGCCTACCCTCTCTACCCTATTCTTTCTCTGATCTAGCCAGAACTCCTACACATATATGCAGGCCTCAGATCATCTGGCTCTGTGAGTGATGTATTAGTTTCCTATTGCTGCTATAACAAATTACCACAAACATGGTAGCTTAAAATAACACAAGTTCATTGTTTTCCCGTTCTGTAAATCAGAAGTTCAGAATGGGTCTCACTAGACTAAGATTGAGATGTCAGTAGGGCTGTGGTCCTTTTAGAAGCTCCAGTGAAAAATGTGTTTATGTTTTCCACCTATTAGAGGCTGCCCTCATTCCTTGGCTTGTGGCCCCCAGCCAGCCATTGTATCCCTCTGATCTCTGCTTTTAGACCCCTCTTAACTTTCACTTGTAAGTTCTCTTGCTATTGAATTGGTTTACCCAGATAATCAGGATAATCTCATCTCAAAATCCTTAGTACAATTACACCTGTAAAGTCTTATTGGCCATGTTAGGTAACACATTCACAGGGTAATGGGATTTGGATATGGACAATTTGGGGGGCCATTTTTCTGCCTTCCACAAATGATAACACTAAAATGTTCCTAATGACCCTACTCCAGCTGGAAAAGTATGTCATCAGCTTGTTTTTTAAGAATGCCTTTCAACCTTACTTTTATTGTAGGGTAGATTCTTCAGTATCTTCCAGTTTATATAGTCCTTTCTACTCTAAACCATTCTCTCAACAAATCCTTTCTAAGCAGTGACTTAATTATATATTGTCATGTATAAAACCCATTCTGTAGATTAAAAGTGTTGTAATGGGGGGGGGGAGACATGATTTAGATCTAGGTTATAATCTCAGGTGCCCCAAAGGCCAGGTAGAGAGCATAAATCAATCAAATCTATCTGGGTGCAAGATAATGGGACTCTTGTAAACTGGCTAGTGTAAAGCTAGCATAACAGCATTCAAGACAAATACTTTTAAAAACCTTTTGACAAAACTAAATAAGGTTGCAGGCTACAAGTTTAGACCCCTGATTTAGTAGTTGATCTTTAGATCCATAAAATAAAATATAAGCACACTAGTTTTTTAAAGTTACCTTCTCTATATATTCATTTCCCACGTAACCTGACCTGTGACGATAAGAAGTTCACTGTCTAGTTAGCTAGAAAGATAGGTGTAAAGATTAAGTGGTGTAGTAAAGGACCTTAATAGAGGTTTGAAAACATATGAAGGAGCAATTAATTCTATCTTATGTTAGAAATATGGAGATGTAATCAGCTAATGCTTTTTAGAGGTGGATGACATTTAAATTGAGCTTTGAAGGATTACTTCTCTAGGATAATTAGCATTCAGTTTTTATTTTACTTACTCGCCACCTATTAAAATTGTACTTATTTGAAAAAACAACATGTTGTTTATTTCATTTTATCTTAATGATTTCCCCCCCCAGATTTTGTGTACAAATACCTTGGAAAAGATGGCTGATATTAGCCTCAAGGAAGTAACCTTAATAGTAGGTGTGATTACTGCCTGCTATTGGAACAGCCTCTTTTGTGGTTTTGTTTTTGATGATGTTTCAGCAATACTGGATAATAAAGACCTACATCCATCTACACCTTTAAAAACTTTATTTCAGAATGACTTCTGGGGAACCCCTATGTCTGAGGTAAGTAATTACATATATATTACTTATAAGAATCTCAGATTTTAAAATACTCTGGTAATTTATTACTATTTCTTTCTTTATCAATGTTGTTATCATAGCAATTTGGATCCCCCACACCCCAAATTTTCTGAGACATGACATGTTTATAAAAAAATGGATAGAAAGTTGAAGATGTGATTATCTTTTTTAAAGCCATGTTTGTTTCTTTCTTTAGTTATGTATCTTGGCCTTATCTTTTAAAAAATAATATATGTGTGTAAAAGCAAATGTGTTAGCAGAACAATAGGTGTAATATAAGTCTGTTTCTTGCTCACTGACTTTTTTTTCCCTCTTGTGAGTGAAGCAAAAAAATTGACTACTTGTGATATATATATAGCTATTTAAAAATGCATGTAACTTCAATATAAATTAGACCTGAAAGGTAAAAATGGTAAGAACACATACTGCCAATTTTACTGCAGAAAAAAAAAAAATTATTAAAAAGTTTAAATATGTCATCTCTCTTATCTAATAGTTATTTTGATATTGAGAACCCAAAAGTTTAGTTCATTTTTATGAGGGTATTTTTACTTTGCCAGAAATTTTATTTTAAAGGTCAGTGTTAAATTGGTATTAAATTCTTGTCAGTTTGGAATCATATACATTGGATTCTATTATATAGTAGCTGTGTGAAATAGGTGGGAATACAGTTTTTAGATGGCAGGTCACTTTCCTAATCTATAAAACAATACCTTGAAGATAAATAAATGAATTCATATATCTACAGTACCTGACACATGGTTATTGAAACATAATATATAACATTCTGTTATAGTTTGTCAGTCGTCATTCATGGCCTATTTCCACATTCTCTAAATTTGGAACCTTCACAAGCATGGGGATGGAATCTTTCATTTCCCTAGTCACGAGTATATAATAAATATTTTTTCTTATTAAATATGCAGACTCTAGGCCTGGCCAGGTTGCTCAATTGGTTGGTGCATCATCCCATATACCAAAAAGGTTGTGGGTTCGTTCGATATCCAGTCCCCAGTCGGGACATGTACAAGAGGCATCCAATCGATGATTCATTCTCCCATTGTTCCCCCCGCCCCCCAAAAAAAAATCAATAAAACATATCCTCGGGTGAGGATTAAAAAATAAATAAGCTATCTCTTATCTTTGTATTATTCTTGGGGAATTTCATTACTTTATTGTTATTCCTCAGCCAAATGTAGATACTTTCAATAGCAAATACAGTGATTCCTTTATATAACTGGTAGAACCAAGATACTTTAGTAATCAATGATTATTTTTTCTTTTTAGGAGAGAAGCCACAAGTCTTACCGTCCCTTAACAGTACTGACATTTCGCCTAAATTATCTGTTTAGTGAACTGAAACCAATGTCATATCATCTCCTAAATATGATTTTACATGCTGTGGTCACTGTAATATTTCTTAAAGTCTGCAGACTTTTTCTGGAAAACAGAAGTAGTGTGATTGCTTCTTTACTTTTTGCGGTACACCCAGTACACACAGAAGCAGTAAGTAAAACTTACTTGAAATGATGTTTATTTCATTATTTTTTTACAAAGCCTCTGGTTATACGGTATATATTTTTAAAAATAATATTTAACCATGACTTTATTGTAGATTCTTAAATTACTCTAATAATTCTTAACTCCCCAGTGCACAGAATCTAACTTTACTACTACACAAAATTTTAAAATTTAAAAGTTTCTGAAACATAATAAACATTTATTATTCAAGAATATAAGATTTAATCGCTCAACTTTAGTAATGTAACATATAATTGAATATAGTTTTATTCTTTGCTAAATTTTTTATGAATGTAATTTTAAAATATGTTTTAATTTGGCATTGTTTTCAAAGGACAGAAAATAGTAAGGCAAATTTAAGTAAAGGATGAAAATATATTAAAATACATGCAAACATGAACAGACATCATAACAAATGATTATATTCAGTAGTTTCATTTTGTCTGTTGCCATGTATTTCAAAATTGTGTACAGGGCTGTTCTCCATCAGCCCCTACCTACTAAGACATACTTCTAACTATAACTGTTTTTCTATTGTTATTAACCTTGAAACTCCAGAATTGCTTCTTAGCAGAGCAAAGAGGACTGTTTTGTTTTGATTCTAAGAAAAAAATCATATGTTTAAATTCTGTTTCTGTGTTGGAGGGGAGTTGTATCTCCCACTATCTTGAACCTTTTGGTGTCTAGCATTTTTCAAAACATTTAAAAAATGATAGGTTGTTTTAAATTTTGCAGTGAGTTCAGAATACTTTAAAGGGTGAGGCTTGGTGTTTAATACTTAAATTTTTAGAATTTAAAGGGACTTTAAAGTTTATTGTCTTTTTAAACTTTAATTTGCCAGCTTATTATGAGATATAACTTATTGAATTTATGATACTTTGTATTTTAAGAACACTTGTATTTTAAGAAAATATTTAAGAAGTACTTAGTTTTTTCTCTTTTTTTAGATTAAGAACTATACTAAATATTGTACTATAATTATATAAGATGTTACCATTGGGGGTAGCTGGGTAAAGGGTACATGGGCTCTCTACTAGTTTTGTAACTTTCTGTATGTCTACAATTATTTCAAAATAGTATTACTAATAAAAGAACTTTAAAGAGTTACTGATAAATTTACTTTTGTGGAAATACACAAATTCACCACATGAGGGCACTCAAAGAATGTCTAAGAAAGAAATGTGCACTTGAAAAGTTATGGCAATTTAGTTTCTCATTGAAGTGCTGTTGCTATTATACAGCTAAATTTTCAAGATGCTCTTCATTAATATGAACCCCCTTTTCCCTTTCTAGGTAACGGGTGTTGTAGGAAGAGCAGAACTTTTGTCATCTATCTTTTTTCTAGCTGCATTTTTGTCATATACCAAATCGAAAGGACCGAATAATTCCATAGGTAAATATCTTAACATTTAATTTTGTCCTATAGCTGTAAAATTTGATCTAGTCATTTTTATCTGCTTTAGTTCTGCTTATAGAGCATATGCCATACTTGCGGTTTATCATTATATATTGTACTACCTTAGCATGTATAGACATATGAAAGTATGCAACATTGTTAATATTAAAGTTTCTTGATGTAGTTTATATTTTATCATGACAGATTCTATATGATCTAATTTTTTAAAAATTATTGTAGCATATAAGAGTTTTAGGGTCATTTTTAGTTCCATCTGCTGTTACCTATAAATGATATAAGTATCAATATTTAAGTTGTCTTTCTGTAAATAAATACCTCTGATGGCTGTAAATTATATTATTAGGCAAAGTTAAAAGCCTATTAGAGTATAACTTATTATGTGTTGATCATAGTTCAGCTATTTATTGAGTCCCTACCCCTGGAAAATGTTTTGTATACGTTAGCTCATTAGTGCGGATGATGCCTGACCTTAAAAATGATTTTTTACAAGTGTGGATATAGTGGGCATGAAAAGGCCTCACATAATGGCCTTCACCTGATTTTGATTGATCTTAAAGTTCAACTCTTATGAGTTTTTTTCCGTACCTTCTTGGAGAATTTCCTCACCATACACCCAAGGGACCTATGATAAGAAGCCTAATTTTGTGTGTATGGAAACTAAAACGTCAAAGGTTCAAAAAATAAGTGACTTAGTGAAACAGCTTTAGTGTCTTCTCAGATTTGCGTTATAAACAGGTGTGCCTCTTGCTGCTATGCACAATACCTTCTTAAAACAGCTTGAGAGGCAGCATAGCATGGAGATTAAGAGCATGGACTGCAGAGTCTGGTTTCACATTCCAGATCCACCATTTACTAGTTCCATTTACTTCTTTGGGCAAATTACTTACCTCTTTGTGCTTTAGTTTCTTTATCTATAAAATGTAGATAATAACCTTTCCTACTGATTTTGAGGGTTAGATTGATGCCTGGGAGGCCAAGGGAGGCCTCAACCCAATAGCTATGTCCAGTATCTTCTCACGGCCCAAGAAAGGATTTAAGAGTGTGACAGAAAGATTTAGCAAAGCACAGATTTATTAAAGTGATGGTACCCACTCAAGTGAAAGCAGGCAACCTCGGAGAACAAGTCTGGGTGGAAGGTATTTATTAAATGTGGGCAAGTGGGGATAGGGTGGTCCCTGGTTTCTGGTGCTGATGGGGTGACTGCCAAAGCAGCTCATCTTCTTCCCTCTTCATCTTCCCTCTTCTCCAGGTAGCAATTTCTTTTTCTGTCCTCCTGAAACTGTCATGCAATTCAGGGGGCTGGGGGTGGGGCGGGTTCCCAAAACCATAATGCAAATTTATTATAAAGATATTATAATGGCCCTGTTGGTCACTTTTAGGTCTGTAGGCTGCTGAATTTGGGTAAGACCAGTTTTGTTTGTCTTAACTACAGTAAATTGAGGAGAGGGAAGCGCGGTAACAGGTGGTCAGTGAAGGTTACATCTGTGATGTTCCAGCTAAGACAGAAAAGGGGAGAGGTGGAGCTCAAGGCCTTTGTTCCCTATTCTAACTTTCCTGCCTCAAGACGAGTTAAACACATAAGGCATTTGGAGCAGTACATGGCTCATAATAAGCATATACCTGCCTTCCCTGTTGGCCGTTCATGCAGTGAAAGGTAGTTCAGTAACTAACAATTTCCTGAGTAAGGATGAACGATAAACTTAGAAAACACTGTGCCCTGTAAGGCCGTGATCAGACTCCTGCCTCGCTAACCACCTCCTGCCGTCTTTTGCGCTAGCTAGCTCCGCTGCAGCCAGATGGACCGCTCCCTTCCTCACACAGGCGAAGCTCCTGCTGTACTTGCTAGTCCCTCTTTTTTGAATTTGCTTCCTGTAGCTGTCTCATTTATCTTCTTTATGTCATTGGGCCTCAGCTCAGCTGTTCCCTCCTGAGGAGCCCTCTCCTGCTCTAACTGGAATGGCCTCTCGCTTTAGGTTTTGTATTTTTTATCCTCACCCGAGGGTGTTTTCTTTTTCCCTTGTGAGAGGGACACATCAGCTGGCTGCCTTCCACACATGCCCCATGCGGCTGGGGTGGAACCTGCAACCCAGGTGTGTGCCTTGACAGCAGTCACACCCACACCCCCTGTGCCCAGGCTGGCGCTAACCATGGAGCCACACTGGCCGGGGCATGTGCCCTGATGGCTTTGAACCGGTGACTTCTGGGTGCACCGGTGGGTGTTCAACCACTGAGCCACACCGTCCGGGCTAAATGTATTATATTTTACATTCTAATTGAAAAGTTGCTAAACCCTGCTTTGGACTTCTGTCTGTGCTTTTAACCCCTGTGATACTTCTTACTCCGTGTTCCATAATTTTACACTTGAGACTACAGAATTGTGTCTGTTCTATCTAATGTATGTTTTCCTATGCAAAGATTTTTATTTTATAATTATTGAGTCACTTTAATTTCTAAGTTATTTACACCCCATACCCTTTTTATAAGCATGATCCATCCCAGGGCCTTTGCACTTGCTTTTCCATTACTTTAAAGTTCTGCTCAATTGTCATCAGTAGCACCACTTATCTTCCCCACTCCTTTTTATTTCCCTTCACCTACTTTTCTCTATAACACTCTGGTCAGCATTTTACAAAATATATCTTTACTTGTTTATTTGATTGTTGTCACACTCCCTTACAAAATGTACTAGATACTTAAAATAACTATTTGAATACATGATGGCTGAAAGTGTGTATCTCTACACATTTGATACTTATACTTTTTCTCTCTCTCTCTTCCTTTTATTGTGTCATTAACTTATTTGGCAGAGGTACTTGTTTTGGACAGAATCATATATGGTAATTTTGGCCACAGATATCTGATTATAAAATTCAAAGTATATCTGTTCATACAGCAATTTAGTCACCAAAGGCTAAAGAACTGAAGTGACTGGTTTCAGTAAAGCTTTTGCCTTTGTTAGAGCTATTAGTTGCTGAGATCTAATCCAACATTATAGAAGGCAACTGTTTGCTTTCTCTTCCTTGGAGTGGAAATACAAATTAGTAAAAAGCTCTGAATTTAGTTAGAAGATCCAAGTTAAAGTCATTGACTCCTATTGTGCATCACTTTTAAAAACCTCCAAAATTCACCCAGCCAGTGTGGCTCACCAGTTGAGCATCAACCTATGATCCAGGCGATCCCAGTTCCTTTCCAGGTCAGGGCACATGGCCAGGTTGCACGCTCGATCCCCAGTAGGAGGAATGCAGGAGGCAGCTGATCAATGGCTCTCTCATCATTGATGTTTCTATCTCTCTCCCTCTCCCTTCCTCTCTCTGAAATCAACAAAGACATATTTAAAAGAAAACAAAAACCTCCGAAGTTCTTTCCTCAGCTTAAAAAATGGGTACAATTACATATGCCCTCTTACACCATAGCATGATTTTTCAGACTCAGTAAAATAATATATGCTAAACTGGTCTTATAAAGTGTTTAATATATTTTTAAAATATCTGTTTTCAAGGCCATAATTTTCCACTAATTTTCAGTATATGCATATGCACCCAGTCATATTATTCTCTATGTCATTCCCTCCCGTACTCCTTTATTCAGACATACCCCTTTCCCAATTTTTCCACCTCTTCCATATTTTTCACAGTGCAAATTTAGGTTCAGCTTGTTTTGTAGATAATCATCTACTGGGGTTTTTTCCTCTGTGAATTTCTTGTTGAATTTAGCATGATATTTCAGCCCTTGGTATAATCTGTTTATCAATATTGACGGTTTTGACCTAACTAGAATCTGACAGTTTTTTCAAGGAAAGAATACTACTATACTGAGTATCCCCAACAGTGTTTTGGGTTGTTGTTTTTTTAAGTTGTTTTTGCTTTCAGTAATTTTCATCTATATAATATACTTTAAAATTAAAAACAATTTCAAAAATAGGTGAGCTTCTATATTAAGCCCAATGTCAAAAGAAACTATATTAGATACATGAATTGTGTTCTTATTTCCTCCTGGTTATTATTTGAGTTTTTTATTTTTATTTTTTTTAAATCCTCACCCAAGGATATATTTCCCCATTGCTTTTCAGAGAGAGTGGTAGGGAGGGAAGGGATTGG